GATCCCCAGGGTGGGGCGTGCAGGAGGCAGCCGATCAATGATTCCCTCTCATCATTGACGTTTCTCTCTCTCTCTCCCTCTCCCTTCCTCTCTGAAATCAATAAAAAAACATTTGTAAAGAAAATAAACATCAGGTAAGGACTTAAGAAATAATAAAGGATTTGGGGGATTAATGAGAGGATCAAATGAGATAATTGGTATAAAAGGGATTACATTAAGAGTGCAAGTCAATTTCAGCCTCTACCACAGACCTCAAAAGAAGTCGTTCCTACATAAGACAGTGTGTGTCCTTCAGCCCAAAAGATATTTGACCCCTTCCCTTTCCCTTCCCCAAGCTAAGAGACCGAATTCCTTTCCTGCCCACTGGGCCTACCCTGTACTGCTGCACTTCCTCGTCCCGCTTTTGCCTCACAAGTGTGATCTGGTTCTCCAGGTTCCTGTTTAGCAGATGGAGCTGCTGGGCCTCTGCTTGCAGGGGCCTCAGAGCCTCCTTCATCTGCTGGATCTCTGCCTGGGTTTTCTGCAGGGCTTTGGCAGCGGCTTCTTTCCTCTCTAGGAGCCGCACCAGCTGAGGCTCATACTCCTCCTCCAGGCCCTGGCGGCTCTCTGCCACGAGGTTCTCAAACTGGGCAGAGAGCTGCCGGCTCTCCTGCAGGAAGTGTGCTTCCCTCTGGCTTGGAGGTGCTTCTATTTGCTGCCGTAACTGCTCCTTCTGCTTCTGATAGGCATCCCGGAGCTGGGCCAGTTCCGCTGAGAGCTGGGCTGCCCGTGCGGTCAGCACTTCCCGGAAATCGGCAAACTGGGCCACGTCCTGCTGGCGGCACTCCAGCTGGTATTGGTAGGCCACACACTCCTTGGTCACCTTGAACAGCTTCTGCTTGACCAGGTGGATCTCCTCCCTGAGGCCATCCCTCTCCATCTCCGCCTGAGCATGCAGTTTGTAGGCATCCAGGATGTCCTGATGGACTTGCTGCACCTCCTGGAGAGCTGGTTCCCGGAGCAACACAAGCTCATGGATGAGCCGATCCCGCTCCTCTTCCAGCTGGGCCACAGCTTGGACACATTCCTGGAAACGCCCCTCGAGCAACTCTAGGTCCTCTATGCTCAGGCTCTCCTCTGTGCTGGGACTAGACCCGGCTCCAAGGCTCTCAGGGTTAGGCTTCTCTTCGTTTGTGACCGTCTCTCCCCCATAAGCCATCTGCTCTGGGCTTGTCTCCTCCTGCTTCCCAGGCTCCTCCACACACAGTGTGTCCTCCTGCTTCCCAGGCTCCTCCACACACAGTGTGTCCTCCGGCTTCCCAGGCTCCTCCACACACAGTGTGTCCTCCGGCTTCCCAGGCTCCTCCACACACAGTGTGTCCTCAGGCTGCTCAGTCTCTTCCAGATACAGTATGTCATCAAAGTCACCTGTGTCCCCCAGGAAGAGCATGTCCTCTATATTCAAGATCCCCTCCAAAGGAAAAGTGTCATCCAGGCATTCAGAGTGTCCCTCCTCTTGAAAAGAAGTGGCCTGTGCTCTTGTTTCCCTGCAAAAGAAATGACTTAAAGTGAGAGGGCAGCCACAATCCCAGGGTGCTTCATGGCTGGAGCCATTAGGCCATAGACCTAAATCATGTCAGCTTCTCACATCTCAGCACTTGTCTGCTCCCTTCCCTCCACTGACTTATCCCCTCACAGCCCATTGCTTAGGTCCCCTGACAACATACCCATGATGTCAAAGTCTAGCCAGCTACATATCTTTAAGGCCAGGAAACTAACACCTGAGCCACCACTATTTGTTCCGCTATCATAAACCTTTTTTACCTGGACTTGAGTCTTCTTTCTAGAATCAGAGAAGTCTAACTCCTTTGCCATGTAAGTTCACTAAACCCTTAACAAGAACTAACGTGTCTTTCAATTCCATGCGTGCCAAGTTTTCCAGGGCCTTCCTCATTTGGGTCACTTCTTTCCGACCAGGCTCCAAATTGTCACTGTCCCTTGGGGCTGGGTATTGGAGCAACACCCAGGTGTGCTCTAAGCAGTCAATCTCCGGACACTATTGATGCAGCCAAGATTCCCTTAGCATATAGGGCTGGCCCATCATGTTCTTGACAAATGCTGAGTTTGACTAAAATTCTTAAGACTTCTTCACAGTAAGTAAAACCACATCTTTGTTCCTGTAAGATGTCAACCATCCTAGCCTGTAAAGTCTCTTAGATTCTGTGATTCTAACAAATGAGCCCGATAACCCAGCTGCCCATTGCCCGCTAGCTAGATCAGTTCCTGTCAATGAATGCTCCCCTATTCCTTTGGCCCTCAAGTGGCTTTGCCTTTCCTGTTTCAAATGCATCTCACCTACCTTGGATCTCTAAGCAATTCCTTGAAAATATAAAATATCATGGAAATAATTATTATAGAGGTCTTATGTGTGCCAGGCCCTGTTTTAAATGCTTTATGTATGTCAACTCATTTAATCCTCATAACAATTCTATGAGGTAGTTGGTTACATTTATCCCCATTTTACAGATCAGGAAACTGAGGTTAAAGCGATTAAGTACTTTACTCAAAAAAACTGATATTTAATGTATACCAGTTATAAAACAAACTAAATTTGACTATTGCTTTCAAGAAACAGTTTTTAGACATAAAGTATAAGTAAAAGTAAAAAGTTCCATCTATGAAAGATTTTGATGGCTCTGTTTTGAAAAGGCCTACTTGTGCCCAGGTTTTAAGCTCTATATCTTATTCCAAGTTCCCAATAAAGGTTATTTTTACTCTAAATCATCCTGTACTCTGTCCTCTCTAACACCCCGGGAATCCCTGGGTTTCCTTTGTTTTCTCATGTTGGCCCCCTGGAAACTACAAAAGTATGGTTTCATCAGGCCCCAAACATCATTGGCCTCCTTCAACCCAGCACCCACACCAAAACCTAAAGTTCCAAGACAACCTCGACAGTCACCTAGTCCATTCACATCACTTTACCAGAAAGTGCTTCTTCGATACCTTTACCAGATGTTACTTTGCACCTCAAAAACTGCCCTAAATTATTATTCTCCTGGAGCTTGCTGCACCTGTATTCTCCAACTCAGTGAAACATATCACCAGCTTGATGAGACAAGAAATCTTTAAACATCTTCCCTCCCCTATACAGCCAACTTACCGAGAACTAACCCTTATGTCTCCCAAAGTCTGCAGTCCCCATCCCCCTCTCCATCCACTGCCAGGCCCTAGTCCAAGTCATCATCTCTCACCTGCGAATCTGTGCCAGCCTTCCAACAGGCCTCTCATCCTAGTCTATGCTCTACAATTTGCTACAACATAAAGCAAACCATGTCGCCCTACGTCACCCATAGATAACCAACTGCTTAGCAGAGATTCAAGGCCCTTGAAGATGTAGCCCCAACGTACCTTTCCAGCCTCATCTCACTCCCCAGGAGCCCACCCAATGCTTGACCATCTGGAACATGCATTACCTTTTTATACCTTCTACCTCAGGCCCACAATGTCTAAAGCAGGGGTCCTCAAACTTTTTAAACAGGGGGCCAGTTCACTGTCCCTCAGACCGTTGGAGGGCCAGACTATCGTTTAAAAAAAAAACTATGAACAAATTCCTATGCACACTGCACATATCTTATTTTGAAGTAAAAAAATAAAACAGGAACAAATACAATATTTGTATTTGCATGTGGCCCGCGGGCCGTAGTGTGAGGACCCCTGGTCTAAAGGATCCAGCTGAGGAAATGCTGCTCTCTGTACACCACCCGACCAAAGAACAGTTCTGGAAAGGGAGAGCTCCCAGGGCCCAGGAAGGAGGCACCTGCTCAGCCAGCCAGAACCCACCCTGATCCTCAGCAGCTAGCAGGCGGACCCAAGACCACCCTCCTGCCGAGTCCTCCACCCCGGAAGGACGTAGCTGTGTTCATGGCAGGATTCCACACATTTTACATGAACACTCCTTTACAGGATGCTCATCTATTATCCCCATGTTACAGATGAGGAAACCAAAGCATAAACAGAGTAAAGAATTCACTCAAGGTTCCACTCCAAAGCCAGAGCTCTTTTTTTTGTTTTGTTTGTTTTTAAAGAGTT